GGAATGCGGGCAAGAAAGAGCAATTGATATTTCACCCTCAGCATACTCTAAATAATATATTTTAAAATGTGCTTAGCATGAACTACGTCACACAAAACCATGTATTTCCTGACTGCATTTAGATGTGGGTTATCAAGCGTTTTTCTTTAAGCAGCATTTGAGGATATCGAGACCTCCATTTGGACGCACCAGCATCAGCTTTACACGACACACTCCCCTCTGGCTGCACAGCTTTCAAAGGCAAGGCCTCTAACAAAGCTCAAGGATAGGGGAAACAGATTTATCTTAAGTGTCTTAAGAGGTACTGTTCTGCCAAGTGCAACTACTTGAAGGGTGGGGGTTATTAAAAAAAAAAGCAACCCCCTCAAACCACATTTATAACCTTTGTAAGGAGCTACTGACCTGTCACTGCGTTATTTTAGCCTATGATATCTACAGGGCATCACTAGGCCCACTCTGAGCAAGGGAAGGCTGAGGGGCACATCCCCTCCCCCCCCTCCCCGTGCCAGCCCCCCCTACTCTGGAGGGGCCACGCCCACCACGGTAACCCACCAATCAGGCAGAGTTGGGGCTAGCCCTAGAAACAGCCTGGCCAATGGGGAGAGGAGGCGGAGCCCTCCCATACCTTCAGTCTCCAGGTTTGGGGGGGTCTCGCTGTGACAGCACTGAGCCCTGCCTACTGCCCCAGGCCCCCCCGGCCCTCCGGGCAGGGTGCTGCTCCCTCACCTGCAAAGCACCAATGGCAGCGCTCTGGAAGCGCAGATCTGTCTTGAAGTCCTGAGCAATTTCACGCACCAGGCGCTGGAAAGGAAGTTTGCGGATCAAAAGTTCGGTCGACTTTTGATAGCGCCTGATTTCACGCAGAGCCACGGTCCCCGGCCTGTCGAAATTAAACAACAAAAACAAAAAAAAGAAGATAATTAGTATTCAAAACATACTCTATATTACCTTCAAAATATGGGGTCGCAATCTAAACTAAACGCCATACACATTCTGTTTACTAGAAGGCTCCCAGCATTTCCAATACAAAACCAGTTTCGCTGGTGAAGGGTCACTGTTTTCCCACCGTTGATCTGCACAAACTTCTGCTGCCCTCCACAGGGATCCCTCAGGCCCCTGGGGCCCTGACTCCACTCAGAGCAGCACACGTTGGCCAGTGGACACTGACACATCTCCATGCAGATGAAGCAAACCGCAACGCTGCTGTGAGTAGCCGGTTTGGTGGTACCAGGAGTACAGTCTCCTTGTGATTAGCCCAACAGCAAGCACAATTTTAAAGGAAACCTCGTTCCCTACTGATGTGAGACACCGTCAACATTCCCAGAACTAGCAGAATTTATATTCAGTATTGTATGATCAGTACAAAGTATCCATTGTATTTCCTGGTGTTGGTTTCGGTGTCAGAAGGACACATTCAGGTTAACAAGGAACTTCTGCAGACACAGAAGTCCATCCCTGAAATTAACATCATGTTTATCTCTGTGGAAACTTTGTATTTTCCTACTGCAGCTTTATTACCTCTCTCCAAGTCCATTAACCCTGTCCCACGCCTACAAGGACAGACTTCCAGACCAAGTTTGCCATTCCAAACCCACTTCTCCTTCCCAATCCCGCTTTTTCCTCGACTGCAGGAAGGGCTGTCGCCATTCTGCGCCGGGCCAGGACCGGGAAAACTTCACGACGAAGAGGACGACTGTCAGAAAGGAGCCCTGGCGACTCGCGTCCTCCCTCGCCCCGCGCCCCCCGCGTGGCGGCGGGAGGTGCGGGAGGCCCGGGCGGACC